TGTGTGTGTGTGTGTGTATGTGTGTGTGTGTGTGTCTGTGTGTGTATCGGCTCAGTTGCAGGGGGCTCGTATTCTGGGGATCCCTGTGGTTGTGTCGGAGCAGTATCCTAAAGGTCTGGGCAGCACAGTGCAGGAACTGGATCTGACTGGGGCCAAATTAGTTTTCCCCAAAACCAAGTTCTCCATGGTTCTTCCGGAGGTGGAGGCGGTGCTGGCTGAGATCCCAGGAGTCCGCAGTGTGGTGCTCTTCGGAGTCGAGGTCAGTACCTGTGATGATGATAATGATCGCGGAGTGCCCACACTTCTTGAAAGTTATTATTTAAAATTATTAACATTTTAAATTATTCAGCCGTTAAGTACCGATGTTAGTGCCAGTTGGTACTAAAATTTAAAAAATGTGACGATGGCAGCATTTACAGATACACACGGGAGCGTTTGAAAGCTGCGTCTATCAGCAGTTCCCTAATATTTTTACTTTTGAGTACTTTACGGTACTTTTGACAGCACTACTTTAAGAACACGCAGAAGCCACTGCTGGTTTCTCCGGTCGAGGGCGGAGCTAATACCTCAATCATCAGTAGTATTATTATCAGGGGGGTTTTTTCTCGTTTTTTTCAGAAGCACTGAATGACCAATAATGTCAGCCCAGCATTCTGTTAAAATGCATTCATATGTTTTCATTCATACATGGTTACCGCATCTTAGTTCTAATGACTTTCTGTCATACAAAAAATGTTTGATTGGCTTATGATTCATTTAATTTAAAATAGATCACATTCTCTGAATTAAACATTTTACAGTTAATTCCATTTTTGAGCACTTTCCCAATGACTTGGCCATTTCTAATCCTATGAAACATCCCTTTTTTGCTCTAGCAAAATATAATATAAACAATACTGTTGACCTGAAAATGTTGACAATCTGTAACCAATAAGATTTCTGTTGGGCTTACAGAAAAGTTATGTTGCCATATTAAATATAATGCTTGACGTATTCTTTTAGAGGCCTTCATGAACACCACTTATACTGGAACATAGTTTCGATAGGTGCTTGATAGGAAATGGAAAGTACTTGAAAGTCCTTGAATCTTTTGTTCATAAGAGAGCGGGAACCCTGATTAATGGACTCTTGCGCTGTGGAGTTCTTCAGATTGGGTAACGTTCATTCAGGAAACCCTGAGCGAGTGTTTGTCTCTTGCAGACGCACGTGTGCATTCAGCAGACCGCTCTGGATCTGATGGGAAGAGGCTTTGAGGTGCACATTGTTGCTGATGCCTCGTCCTCCAGAAGCATGATGGACCGGATGTTTGCACTCGAGGTGAGATGGAGATTCACTTCATGAGACCGCACTGATCCTGGAAAGTGAAGGCCAGCTTATCAAATATGTAAATCTCAATCCTAAAGTGTTGACGATGTGAATGAGCACCTGTGTTGTTCATAATGACTAGGGATGTAATGATTCACCGCGAGCCGGATGAAAGTCGATACCAATCTGTGATGATTCAGGTGGGTTGAGATGTTAAATGAATCACGATTCATTTGAGGGTGGAGTTTATATTAATGTATCTCTGAGGGGAACTTTAGAGAAGTTTAGACAGTGGTTTCTTTTCATCTGGTCTCTGTAATGCTTATTAAAGAAGTGTTTATAAGCGCAGCGCTGCTTTGTTGACAGCGGTTCCATGAGCGCCTCCTGCTGTCAGAGAGTGAATCTGCGTCTCGTTCAGAGCTTCTGCTGTTTAGATGTTTTATGTAGCATAATGTCACTAAGTTAAAGTCAGACCATTCTGTTTTTGCTTCAAATTGCAGCATGTACGCAGCATCTTTGTTTGGATCGTGATTAAATTCCAGTGGTTGCCTCTAACTGAATGGAAAGAGCACAGGCAAAGCTTTAGTTTGTTTCTATGAAGATGTCTTTAATTTGTGTTTAAAATTTCATATTTCAATTTCACAAAGAAATGTGCTGCATTTTGTTCAAGCCATAATAAAAGGACATCTTTTCATTTATAATTTATCTTAAATCTCATTGTTAAAAAAATTGTGAGAATGGTATGGTGAAATCAGTATAGTGAATCATATCATATCGTGAGCTGAGTGAAGCGTTACAACCACGCAACCACGCAGACTTAAAGAGTGTGTTCCCAAAGATACACCAACA